AGACGCGTTTTCAAACGTATATATCTTCATTTTCATACACGTAAAAATTATAAAAACATGATATTAATAAAAATATAAAATGAGACAAATCTAACAAAATCTCACATGATGATTATATTATATCTTATAGATTAATGGTAACTTATATTCAAGGTGTTCAAAATTTGACCCAAATAATAGCTATGTGGCAAAAATAAATGGATGGAGGGAGTAACTAACAAGGAAATCTTAGTACATACCCAGTATGTATGATGGGTATATTAGTCATTTTGTATGAAACTTTAAAAATTCAACAATATATTTTGTTTACTAGAACCATCCATAGTAACATTGAAATCTTAATGGTACATTCACATATCAAATTAGTACCAATGAAATTTACATTTTTCTAGTAGTATAAATAGAGTTTATTTTATTTTATTTTATTTTATTTTATTTATTTTTTTTTTTTTTAACATGATACTCCCTCCTTATTTTATTACTTGCTTTATTTCTCTTAACATAGAGTTGTAGGAGTAATTATAGAAAATATTAATTGGGTTGGTTAAAGAATAAGAAAAATCTGAAATAGCAAAAGTGGATAGGAGAGAGAATATGAAAAATATTAAAATATAATATGCGGGGACTATTAGTGGGTAGGATAAAAGTAAACTATTGTTAAATGTTTTCAAAAAATAAATAAAAATGAGCAAGTAATAAAATACGACCGTAAAAGAAAAGTGGAACAAATATAAAATAGTGAGGAGGTTAACTTCAATGATGTGTTATCTGATGATATCATTATGACTTTAATCATAATATACCTAGTATATGTTTTTAATTCTACACAAACTATACCATTGAAATTTAATTTTTTTTAAAATGACAAAAATACCCCCATGCTATTTGATGCTCATATAGCACGGTATGTACCCAAAAGGCCAGAATCCCTCCTAAGTCCGGTTAAATATTGGCGCATAGCTGCTATTTACATGGCAAGTAAATAGCAGCTATAATACAAAATAGTGATGGCTTTTTTTTTTTTTTTTCCTAGTGGTACAAATATAGTACCACTTTGACCTATAATGACTATAAATAGTACTACTAAAATAACTTATACTCTAATAGTATAAAATACATGTACATTATTAGTACATTAAAAATACCATTGTAAATATAATAGTACGTTAAAAATACCACTGTACCAATAAAAAATCACAAAAATCAAATGAATTTACCAGCTAGCTCTCCTATATACATCATAAACAAATAGCAGCTATGCGCCTAGTAGCGCTCAAAAGTCCCACTCCTAACTAACAGAATAAGTATTGGCGCATAGGCCCTATATATTTCACTTGCAAATAGGATGACATTTTTGTAAATAATGGGAATCTGAGAAAAATCGGTGGTAGAAAATATGACGATAAAATGTACCACTACATGCATAATAATACATAATACTATAATAATACCCAAAAATGTACCACTGTACTATTAATAGAAAGAAAATGTACCACCGAATCTCCGATTGTCCTCCTACATGCATACAAAATACATAGGCCCTATACGCCTATATTCACTCTAACTAACATGGCTGGCTGACAATGCAATTAAACTTCTGTATAAATAAATAAATAAATAAATAAATAAAAGACAATGCATTTAAACTTCTTAAGTAACGGTCCGCAATTAAAAAAGAGTAGTTAGTTGGAGTGGTTGGACATGACGCTAGAGTCTCCCGCCACAATATTCACGTGATTTCGTTTTATCTGACGCAGATAGCAAATTCACTCTTCAACCATTAACAAAAGTAACAATAAAAAATTACTCCTTTTTTTTTTTTGGATTTGCTTATTTGTCGAGATACAATTTTAAGCATTAATATCTTTAATTAAAGGTTAGTAAAAATTATGAAAAAATTAATTTACAAAAGTAGACATTATGACAAATCCAATAACATATTATATGATCATATTTATGTATTATATATTGATAAAAAAATTAAGTCAATGATGACATATGAAGAGTGGAAAATCCTAACTCTAGCTTTTAAAAAACACGGATGGAAAATTCTGTAATACTCCATCCGTGTTTTATTACTTGCTCAATTTCTACATTTTGCACTATTTATTTGTAGACCTGGTAATCCTGACCCAACTTGAATGATCTGACTCGCAACCCGAATCATTGACTCGAAAATGACCCGAACCTGAACTAAGCCGACCCGACATGAACAAGACCCGAAGTGAAGTTGACCCGATTTCCAAAATGACCCAACCCAAAATTGACTCGAAACCCAAAGTTGATCGAACTCGAAGTGACCCGAAACGACACGATCCGAAATAACCCGACCCAATTTGACTCAACTCAAAATAACCCGACCCGAAGTGACCCGATAGGTACTCACGTGTTGTATTTTTGGTGTTTTTTTCAAAGAAACTAGTATTTAAATTTGTGATTTTTTTAATGAGAGAATTGATCAAGTTATGTATGCCTTTAAAAGTGAAAATAGGGGGAAATTTTTTAATAACGAACATATATATGAAAAATAATCCCTTAAATTCGAACTTTCTTAGCAAAAAATTTAGATTGCAACTCTTGAACAACATTGAAAGCTAGTCATGCCTACTGCCATTCGTATTTTTCAAAATATCTGTCAATTCAAAAAAATTATATGCCAATTACATGAAGCAAAACAGGAAATTAAAATTTTGGAAGATCTTGGATTAGAATTTAATTAGCGACTAAACTATTTGACTGAGACGAAATGAGGAAAAAACAAAGATCTACTTTGTTTAATGAAATTTACTGCTGGTAGAATGCCCAAAAAATAAGTGCATTAAAAATCGATTAACAGTATATATACTTAGATTGAGTGGAACGGAAAGATGCAAACTTAAAATTGTAGAAAAAAAACAGCAAAATGATCACACATACAATTTAATATTGCTTTTGACACATAATTATGACTTAAATTATTCAAAAAAAAAAAAAAAAGAAAAAAAAGAAACATACCTTGATGATTGCGAAAATAATTCAACAAATAATATCAATTGAAACCAAAAACTTCACAAGTTGACATAAACCTAGAATGAATAAGCAAATTGAAAATAAGTTAAAAACTATATACAAAATCATGAAATGCATTGTACTTTTTTTTTGCTAATTTAGTTTGTAAAAAAGAAAGTAATTAATATTAGAGTAATGAATTAGTGCTTTAGTTATTAAAAATTGGGGATGAATAAAATTAATGAGGTAGAAAGAAGGGAAGCGTGATTACATTCATAATTAAAATTTAATTTTTTTTTTTGAGAGAACTGAAATTTAATTAGAAAAGAAAGTAAAATGCATTTTGATTTGAACAGTTAACAAAAATGAAAATTTGATTAAAAAAAAAAAAACCTAATGCAACCCTTCATGAAAAAAATTAAATAAAAAACTAATGTAACACTTCATGTATAAATTAACTGAAAACTGAGAAGTGAATAAAACATTGTTTGGGGAAAAACCGAACAAATAGAAAGATAAACATCAAAGTTTTTTTTTTAATTTTTTTTGGTGTTTATAAAAGATTGATTTTTTTTTTTTTTTTTTGGTCTTTATCAAAGATTTTTTACTTAAGCTTTAATTATTATTTTTAAGAAAATAAAAAAATATATATGAAAAATTAAAAAAGGACACGTGGACACTCTAAATTTCCTTGTTTTAAAATAATAGTATAGGTTTACTTTAGTTTCTAATTATTATATAAAAGTTACTACTATTATTGAAATAAGAGAGAATTTTCCCACAATTTTTATAAGTGAATTTATTTTTGGCAATCCGACCCGAACTTGACTTTACTCGAACTGAGCCGATCCGAAATAACCCGACCCGAAATCTAGTCTTGAAAATTGACTCGACTTAAATTGACCCAACCCGAACTGACACGACCCGAACTAACGCGACTCAAACTTGACTTGACTCGAACTCAACCCGAATTATTACCTGAATTGACCTGACATGACACAAACCCAACCTGAATATTTGCTGACCCGAAAGCGACCCGACCCGACCTGAAATGACATGACTCGAACAACCTGTTTGCCAGGTCTACACATTTAATCATTTCGCTTACTTTGACTAATATTTTTCGTTTATACATAAGAAAAAAAAATATAGTCTTGTACGTACTTGTTAAAACCGTCTCAATAAATAGATTATTAATTTTCAATTATTAGGTATTATACTTATTGATAATTAAAGACATTATTGATCAAAAATTTGCATCAATAAATAGATTATTAATTTTCAATTATTAGGATTTATAGTTATTGATAATTAAAGACATTATTGATCAAAAATTTGCATCGACACACGTGTCCAAAAGAAATGGAACAAATAATAAATTACGGAGAGAGTAGTTAGGTTAATACTACCAAGAAAAGCTTAGTGGAGTTGATGAAGAACTCACCTTGTAACTTTTGAGGTTACGAGTTCTAGCCCCACCAACTACATTTGCTTGGGAGTAGGGGGATCCCCTTACCTCCCCTCCACTCTCAAGCGTGACCTGTGGAGCTGGAGTGACTTAACATATAGGAGGTGCCGGTTCAGTAGGGTCGTATATCTTACCTTAAAAAAATACTTAGTTTATTTAATATTGTATTTGTCTTAACATCATATGAAGTATATGGGTTGTGATTAGGGCTGGAAAATGGATCAGGCCGGGTCGGGTTCGTGTTCGGGTCACCTAAATTTCGGGTCAGCTACCCCCAACCCAAACCTGATCCATTTAATTTTTCGGGTTGAAAACCCTAACCTGAACCTGATATTTTCAGGTTCGGGTCAACCCGAAATTGACCTTATTTGACCTGATTTTTTATTTGGGTTAAAATCAGGTTTCTTTGACCTGAAATTAACCCGACCCAAACCTGATATATTCAGGTTTGGGTTAACCCAAAATTGACCTGAATAACTTTTTTTTCATTTCAAATACAAGTTGTTCAGGTTAAGCATTTTTATTCAAACCAAAATTAAATAGCTTAGTCTAACAAAGTAACAATCCTACTTAACGATAATAAACCAATAAAAATTGTAATTCACTAATTACAAACCAAAGATAAAGTTTTAATAACACAAATTACAGTTTTCAAAAAATAATAGAAGATGCAATAAGATTTTCATTTGTATTAAGATCGGGCGATGTTGGGACTGTCAATTTGTCATGGCTGTCATCCTTGTTCACCACCTCAAGCTTCAAAATTGATCCACAACATTTCGAATTGAACATGGGTGGGCTACTTCTTGCTGCCAAACCTATAAAGAAAAACAACACTAACATAATTAAAACATGCAATTCTAAATCAGACTATATTATCTAGATCTAACTAGTAAGATCTAAATTAAAACATGCATGCTCATGATAAACAAAAGTAAACAACAAATATTAGCAAGAATCACCATAACATAGACAACATTTAACAATAAAAATTAGCATTAACAATAAAAAATTAGCAAAAACAACCGTATAATAACATAATCAACAACATTTAACATCAGAATTTAGTAATAACACTCGAAAATTAGCATGTAAAAAACTAAAATAAACGGAAGCAAGTAAATATAAAATTAACAACAGAAGAATTAGAAAATAAACAAAACTAGCATATAAAAAACACGAAAAAAAAAACAGAAAATAAATTAAGAAGCAAGATACCTTTTGTTTCGGGGTTTTCTGATGTCCTGCGGGAGAGTTACAATTCCGAGACTGGAACCGGACGCCTGTACCTGCAAAACAAACGAATGCTCCGGACGATTGGAGATCCGCCTCCGACGATCAAGTTAGTACTTGATTAAGGAGTAATTAATGCGGAAAATAAAAGTGATTGGGTCTCTCTAGGTGAGAGTGTTAAATGTGCGTAATCCCCTTTAATGAGGATTAATGGAGGTATTTATAACCTTAGGAAACGTGCCAATCCTAGGTTTAGGTTAGCCTAGGGCTGATTGGGCTTCCCTTGAAAGTTGGGCCTAGGTGGCCGGTTTTTCCATTAGGCATGGAGGATGCCACGTGTCATGACATAATAGGTCCAGGGTGGACAAATAGGCGTGTGTCACGTGGCAAACCCTGACAGTTCCAACTAGAGGACACTTGGCAGGACCTGATTGGCCCACGTGGCGCATTCCGATTGGTGGGAGCAAAATCCCCTAATCATTTTCCCCTCACAGGTGGCACGTGACTGGTCACGTGTTACCTGTGAGAGGTGTCGCACCGTGACAGGCGACGGCCTGCTACAGGTGTCACTCGGCGAAAGGCCGAGATATTCTCCCGCCCAAATTTTGAATTTTGGAAGTGACTCTTCGCCTTCTCACTTTGCCTATATAAGGGTGTGTTGACTTCAGTCATTTTCACACTTGAGAACTTTTTAGAGAGAACATTCGGACCCCTGAACTTGCTCTGACATTTCGGACTCTTTCTGCCTACCGCCTGCTTTGACAAGCCGACTACACAGGATTTCCAAAACTCCGTCAACTTCACTCGTTCAGGTAACCGTCGGTTCTCTTACTCTTAATTTTTTCTTTATTTTATTCTTTTTTGGAATGGCACCACGGAAGCACACGACACGACCTAGGTTAGTGATCAGCCGGTCATCGGGGACGGCTGAATCTAGGACTAGGAGTGCCGCCTGCCCTTTTCCGGACCCATCTTTGCCCTTTATACAAAGTCCGACTATCCCTGTGTCTATGCAGAACATGATGGCCAAAACAAAAAGGACTGCTAGGATCTCGAACTCAGACGGCTCCTCCCACAGGGTGCCGATTAGTGAAACATCTGACCAGGCGCCAGATGTGGAAGTGAACCAAGCGGCTTGAAAGTCGACAGTTCTGAGGGAGGAGTCAAAGTGACCCCTTCCAATTTTACAGTTGACAAGTCTACATTCTCTCCTGCTCCTTTTGAAGGAGAGAAGGCGGGCCCCTCTGGGAGAGGGGAGGAGTCGTCCTCTTCGGACTCGTCAGAGGACGAATCCGAGTCTAGCTCTTCTGGTCATGCTTCTCTGGACACAGAAGAGAAAAACAGTCGCCTACAAGAGGCGAGGCTTTCTCACGCAGTTGAGAAGGGGGACAATTGGGCGGAGCCATCCGCCTCTTACCGAGAGCAAAATACCCCCTACTACTGCACTGTCCCACGGGGCCGGATCACGACCATGGAAGAGAGAGTGGGGAGCTTTATCGCGAACCACACAATGGGCCCCGACTTTTTAGTTTTCGTGCCGGATCCAGAAGACACAGTCGTCTGACCGGCTGGTACTAGTTATGATGGCGCCTGCTTTGGCTGCTACGAGGCGGCCATCAGGGCTGGGCTGCGCTTCCCACTACATCCGGCTGTTCAGCAGATCTTGGATGGGTATGAGTTGGGGTTATGGCAGTTAGCCCCAAACTCCTGGGTCAACGTACTCGGCTATGTGGCCGGGTGCGAACTGCACGGGGTGGAGCCAAACTTCAAGGCTTTCGCCCACATGAACTACCTCAGCCGGACCCCTAAGGCAGGCGGTACCGGCTGGTATCAATTTACGAGCGACAGAGGCTACCTCATGACAAGAGGTAAAGCAAACAAGTGGAAGGATTGGCGAAGCACCTTCCTTATCATTGAAAGTTCAGACACAGAGCTGAACAAGCGCTTCAACAGGTGGAACAGGAATCCGCCTCTTCTTGCAGGCAGCCGCAGCATGCCGCCTGTTCCCCCCAAAGCCAAGAAAGAGATCCTGGACAAAGGACTCTTTAAAGTAGAGTCGAGGGTCGACTCTACTACAGGGGTACGAGAGCAAGTACCCCTACACTGCGTCCCGAGCTTCAAATGGATCTATGACGAGTACTTTTTGGCCGCCTGTGGCCTCAGCAGTCGGTGCTCAAGAGGTAGCCGGCCTGTCGAATACTCTGTTTTTCCATGAATTACTGTTATGACTTTTCATTAACTTTGCTATTTGTTCTTGCAGCGGACGCCATGAGCAAAATTACCGCCTCCAAGACTGCGGCGGCCATGTTGCGAGCCTCCATCATGCAACAATCCTCAACCGACTCCCCGAACAAGGGGGCGCCCTTGGTGAGCTATGAACCTTTCACTCTCTTTTTGGAGTTGGATTCACGCATATACTGACCGAGTGTTTTTTTTTTTTTTTTTTTTTTTTTTTTTTTTTTTTTTTTTTTAGACGGGCACTCCAAGAGCCTCTTCTTCCCAACAGCCGGACTCCAAGACCCGGAGGACGACTGTTGCGAGCTCTCCTGGTACTGCCAGGAAACATGCGGCGGCTGAGAAACAGCCTTCCACTCCTTCTAAAACTCCAATCGGGCCGCCTAGAAGTATGAAGCTGTCCTTATGAATTTAGACTTGCTCCCTTCTTTACTAGGTCTAACTTGTTTGTTTATGCTTGATGCAGCTGGCCCTCAGGAGCCAGACTTGGTCGAGGTGGCTAAGTCTATGATCAAAGCCGGCTGAGAGGGAGGCGGTGAGGGGTGTCGGCACCCTTGACCTAGACGGGATTGCAGGGGTCCTTGCTGAGGTATACTTAGCATATTTTTGGTTATTTAAATTCCAGGACGCCTGTTTTTTGTTTGAAAACTAACGCCTGTTCCCTTTTACTTAGGCCCTACTCCGAGTGAACGGCCTTCGCAAGCCGCTTGACAGGAAGAACAAAGAGGTAAAGGCTGCAAAAGCTATGGCCGCCTCTGACTGTGATAAGGCAATGTTTCAAATTGCCCAAAATGAGGTTCTGACAATTGATATTCTTTATTATCATGCGCAGGCTACTTCTGCTATCCGGGCTCAGTTAGAGGCGGCCTAGAAGAAAAATAATGAGCTGGAGGCGACCGTCAACAATCTCAAGGCCGAGCTGAGACCTCTTCGCCAAAAAATGTCCTCATACGACACCTTGGAGAAATCCTTGGCACACGTTACGGAACGCCTGGTGACCCAGGAGAAGAGTCTTACTCAGGAGCTCTCGGCAAAGGCCGAGCAAGAAAAGAAGGAGCTGGTCCGAGAGATGATGGAAGACTCTACTCAGATCCAACGCCTAACCTGGGGCCGCCTCTTCCCCAATGCCGACTTTTCCTCATGGGAAAAAACGTACCGCCAGTGTTCTGATAGATATAATCAAGAGATCCTGGCGGCTGCTGAGGACAAGGCGTTGGAGCAGGAGGAGCCGGTAGTGGCGCTTGTGCCGCTTGGGGTGGATGCATCGAAGAAGGATGCAGCTGAAGCCGAGTCCAGCAAAAAGAGTGCTGACCAGGCGGCAGCTGCTATTATTGAAGATCTGCCCCCTTCTTAAGCTTTATGTCTTCTTTTTACGGCTTGCGTGCCGTTTGTTTCTATTTACCCGGCCAGGGGGCCGGGGTTCTGAATATTTTGCCGGTCTTAATGACCGGCTTCTTTTTGTATCTTTTACCCGACCAAGGGGCCGGGGGTATGAATGTTTATGCCAGTCCTTCGAATTTGTTTCGTTTTGAATTTGTTAAGTATCGAAACTCTGATATCCAATTGCATACTTATACCGACTTTTTTGCATGGCCGATAGTTGCGGACATGTACGAGGTAGTTAGTCACGCCACCTATGCCCCTGGATGACTGGTTGTCTGTTTCCAGGCTAAGCGATCAGTCGGCCACTTTAAAGACTGGATCCCCTTCAACCAAGTAGGAAGGTGATTTCCTACCTGCCTTTTTTTTTAAGGCTAGAGACTCTAGTCGGTCCAGGTCGACTGTTCCCCGCCACATTTAATCTAGTGTGAACAGGCGCTGTATGAACACCTTTTTAGTCTCATACTAAATTTTTAAGGAGTGACCAAGTAAACATGATTGTTACCTAGTCGCCGAGTGACTGAGTAGTAGAGGTTTCAAGCGGTGGGTACCGGTTGTTCCCCTTTATTTGCCAATGTTTGTTGGCTATTAACTCATAAGATACCGACTGTTCTTATCCCAAGTAGTTCAGTCAGTTGGTTGACACGGATGGTTACTGCGAACACTTGTTTGACCTGATTAGTCAGTTAAGTGAGAGGTATCCTTGTCCGGGAAACGGCTACGTGGTTGTCTTGGTTAGACAGTCGTATAGGTGCCGTTTAATGATTTTATAGAATAATGTTCCACCCAAAAGGGAGCTGCTCTCTACGACGAATTTCATCCGGATGGATGCCGTCGGACGCCTGCTATAATGTTGGGACAGGTCGAATTGAACTTATATTTGGATCAGTTGGCTTGGCGCCTGGTCTGATCATTTTAGCCATGATCCGTTGATAGTTCTTGGTGAACTGTGTTATGGGAGAGTAGCCGG